CGCTGACAAGGCAATTGTGGCAACTAGTGAGTCGAACGCGAAGTGTCAAGCCTGTACCGCATCAATTAAGACCCAAGCGGTGGCCACAGAAGTGAACAATTATCACACACGCACACGGATGACCACTAGGAAGTATAAATACTGTGCAGCCTGTGCATATCTCCACCCCATCTGCGCATGACCATGACCATGTTATCATCACCTATGATTACATCTCATCTGCGCATGACCATGCCTATGTTATCATCACCTATGATTAAGGATTCTCGAGGGAATCCGAAACGTCAGGCAAATAAAACTCTTGTTCCAGTGATCACATCTTCTTCTTCCGAACAACATCTAACCCCGCACGAAAAATTTAAACGCGTGTGTACTCAGCTGGCTGCAACATTAGGTGAACATCCTTGACTGGTCTAGGCTATCCTTATTCAATGACAGTTCTCAAAGTCACTATGATTACTTTCACGGCAACCTGCAATTCTATCTCGAGAGTAAAATTTGATTACATTTTCAACTATTTGATTAGGGAATTTATGAAGAAATCGCCAAACTTACTGGCTGACATGCATGTCCAGTATCAGACAAAACTGCAGATGGTCCATTGTAGTGTGTGCCGACCTTGAAATGGTCTGGTATCTTCGCTTGAGGGAACCATTTTAATAGCTGCATTTCGAATGGGGTGTCCATTTGTCTCATGAATAATGAAACGATTATTTGTGCAACCCTGGCTGTGGTTCATCCCTTGAGAAAAGCGTCAAACTTTGTAGATTTATTTAGCGCTGACGTGCGCATTTCCGCCTTGGATCCAGTGTCCGAAAAACTAAGCTTATCATATCTGTGCATATCTTCTGCATTCGACACCTGTGACGATTATCTACGTTTGTTGGTGCGCGTCTTCAGGTCACCGGGGACTTTTTCAATAAAGCATTCGGTAAAAGGGGCTGCAGTACCGAAAATTTAACCATCAGTTTCGACGAGGTCTAATGTGTGCTCCACAGCATGCTGACATAAAGATGGCAACTTACGCGTTCTTCTGTTTTAGGTGGCTTGCGTGGCATCTACTGCAATCTTTTTTCCCTCATTCATTTGTGCCCTTTGTCAAGATACAGTCTGAATGTACTGAAGCGGGAGGGAGCATCGTTGGCCGATGTGTCGAGATTCCGTCCCCAGGTGTGCTGTCGCACAAGGTCACGATCCCAGAGACTGGAGTTGTCATAGAGGCCACAGTAAGAAGAAGCCATTACAGCCTAATTCACAGTCCACCAATCTAGTACTCCAGACAAGTATCTACAAGGCTGACTGTGCAATTTCAGTTAGGCTGCAAAACAAGGACTGAATGATAACCTATCCACGCTTTAACGGTACTTAACATTACAATTGAATTGCTCATTTAAACCATACCTTCATAGCAAAATAGTAATATATGGCCACATGGAACGTCTATGTGCTCTACTTATCGAATCCATCATTTTTGAAGAAGTCTGGCAAGGGCATTCGTATAGAGTCACGGCAATGCAAGGGGCCAACTTAGATAAGATCTAGCACTGCAAGTCATTGAGCAGTAACTATATGTGTGATTCGGTAATCAGGTTTCAGCATTTACTTGCCCACACTCTAGAGGCAGACTCAACGTTTTTAATCGCATGAACAGGCTGCTAGTCATTCCTTCTGTCGTTAAATTGGACTGCTGAAATGATTGTGGCTGTGTATTAAAGTATCCCTGTATTTGTCTTTCCTATTGCCCTGTCTTTGCCAATGGACTTTTATGCTATCCTAAAAATTTACACGAATAAGTCGCCCAATTTGTCGTTTGACCAGTTTTTAGGTCTACAAGCCGTTTTGTCGAATATGCACGTGATTACGCTGTACTAGCAATATGCATATACTACAGCGAGTCACTCGCAGAATGTTTTTCGATTGATCAGCTTCCGCTTACTTAACGACTTGTCAATGTGTGTGTGCGGGCCTGTGTCAGTCGCTGAGTCTTGTCCCCAGGGGGTGGATCGTCGGTCGCCTGCAGCCAGTCAGTGAACTGTTCCGAAAGACGAACGTTTCACATGATGAGCGCGGTGCCATAACGGATTAAACTCGTTAACCGACGTTCCATTGTACCGCATTGTATTGTAGCTGAATACATTTTAGTAAACATGTGTGGCTTGCTGTGACACCGTTCCGTTCATTTTGTCCACATTGAACGACTGGCTCTGTGTGCTGGTCCGTTTACGTTCAGAAATATAAATATTAACCGTCCCTAGATGTTTAAAAGTGCCAAGTCGGTTTACGTGCTAGCTGCTGCATTGGTTGTTAGACCGCCTCTAACAAGTATTCTCATTGGTTCCAGATATTTATCATTAGCCGAGCTAAATATATAGTTAATGCTTATAATTTATCTGGTCGTGCTCTAGCAGGCAAAGATAACACCCTCCGACACGATGCAAGCTCTGTTGGTCTTTGCTCATTTGTTACCACTTTTGACTGTCTGCGCGGGATGGACCACTAGTGAGCGATATATATTTAAAAAAGTCTGGCAAGTCTGGAAGGAGAACCACAAAAAGAGTATGCCACTCTCGACGAGGAACAGTTCCGACAAGAAGTCTTCCTCGGCAATCTCGAGTTTATCTTTCGACATAATAAAATGTTCTACAGTGGTCTGGAAACGTATAAAGTTCGAGTGAATGCCTTCAGTGACCTCACACCGCGTGAATTTGCCGCTACATATCTCTGTCTGCAGAGCACGCCTGAAAGCAAGCCGAGCAGTCGGGTGGCCACGTTCATCCCCGTTGCTGGGAGACTGCCGGACAGCGTTGATTGGCGTGAGAGGGGCGCGGTCACGCCAGTGAAAGATCAAGTCAGCTCTTGGCTGTCAAATATTTAGGATCGGATTTTTCAAAAGTTGATGCTCAGAAGGTTAATTTTTATGGATTTTCTTGGACCTTATTTGTTTATGCATAAATAGCCATAATGTGTATTCAAAATTAAAGGCATTGCGAGTAATTATGACAGGC